CAGAGGCTGGAGGTCAAACTTCTGAGGAGAGGGAGGCAAGAGAGAGAAGAAAGTGGGAGCTGGGCTGGTATATGGTGGTTGCAGTGGGTCTTGGGACTTTGTCACTTGTCTTAGAGCTTGTGGAGCTATCATCTCCCACATGCTGGGAGAAAGGAGATCAGATGACATGCAGCAACGGCCAAGGTGAAGAAGTGCCTGACTGACAGGCACAGTGACTGACAGGCATTGTTTGCTGGGAGTTTAGCAGGCAGAGTTGGAAAAGAAGGTGAAGCATGATTCTACATTCTTTTCTTATTGATGTCAATTTTAGGGTCAGTTGAGAGGGGGTGATTCCACTTACTGGAGAGGGAATAAAAGGGGGGCCTAAGAAAGCTGGGATGATGTCAGTGATGTTCCCTTGAACACAGGTCATCTGGTCTTTGACTTGGGGGATAAAGGAATGAAGAAGACATTGCAGGAACTATGGCAATGTGCTGTTTTCTTGCTTCTGCTCTGACTCCTGCCAGACATGGTGCTTTTGACACCCCCTAGCAAGGGTCTTTCTGATCCTGACTAGGACAAGTAATGGTATAACGTATTGAGGCCATGGAATGGTTAAGACCATGGGTTCTAGAGTTAGACCGACTAGCATTTGTTGTGAGACTTGGGCAAGTAACTTGACTTCTCTGACGTTTGGGGTCCTTACCATAAAACTGGCAGGATGACAAATAATAGTAATAGCAGTGAGGTAAAGTATGCAAAGGACTTAGCTAAGTACCTTAGCTCAATAAACATTGTCTGGCATTGTGCCATTTTTGTCTACAAATTCAAAGTCCTGGCAGAGGCAGCAGTCCTTGGGACGGGGTTCTTATGGGAGCTCACCTTGCTGTTTTTGCATTTTCAGATCTCTGCTGCTGCCACCAGGCCAAGCCACAGCATCTACTGGCTAGACACCTACACCAGCTCCTAAGTAATCTCTCCTATCACCATTGCCTCCTCCTAATGCATTTTCCTCACAGTGTACAGAGCAGTAGTTCAAAGGTCATTTCAAAGACCATTCCAAAATGTGAACATGTCCCTCTTACCTAAGCCCCTCACTGTCTGCTCACGCTAGTGACTTAAGACCCATAATCTATTTCACAGCCTACAAAGCCCTGCAGGATCAGGTGCTCACCTACCTCTTTTAAGTCCTTCTTTTAAGAGCTGAGCTCTTTCCTGATCTGCACTTGCTCTTGCCCTGCCTGCACATGTCTGCCGCACGTTCCCCGGCTTCTTCCTCAGCCATCAGGTCTCAGCTCATACACAGCACTTCCTCAGAGAAACCTTCCGGGACTGACCAATGGAAATGACTCCCCACTGTTTTACTCTCATTACCCCCTGGGCTGTTCCACATTGCACCTGCCACACTGGTTCTTGGAACTTTTCTGTAACTATTTAATGTCTATTGCATATGGTGAGGTCTCAACTGCTAAAGGCTGGCCATGTCTATTTCATGCTTTACTGTGAACATACAGTGCTGTTCTGGAACAATGGCAGCATTCCTTAACTGGTCCTTAATTAGGAAATGAATGAAGAGTGACTCAGGGGTTGTGAACACTTCTGTTCTTCCCTCCACACACGGGCTGGGCTGGTGAGGAGGTTTGTTTGTGGACGGCTGAGGGCTGCCAGGGAAACCCAGATTCAGAAGACCTGGATTCTAGTTCCACTGCCTCACTTCCAGGTCACATGATCTTAAACAGGTCACTTAACTAGACAGAGAACTATGGAAGGACCATGACTTATTCACCTTAGTGTCCAGCAAGTGAATAACTCCAAAGTCTAAGCTCTTTATCCCCCAAACCCCTCTGTCACTGGACTTTTGAAACACAAACTACTATGCAAGTTGGAGTAGCAACACAGTGAGTCAATGTCTACACAGTCCTCAAAATGCACACGTGGAGATGGGAGCTGCCTGCCACTTCAGCTGGGCCCCCCTGAGCACGGCTGCCATTGCACAGGCCTTGTGCCACACAGACACCCCATTCCCAGGGCCTTTTCAGAGCTCTGGGAAAATGGTGAATACTCAATCTTTGTGAAGTGCCAACAGCTTTCCTTTATTTTGACTCAGCAGCTCAGGCCAGGCCAGCTCAGCCTCACACAAAGACATGTAATAGAGGTGAAGGTTGAAAACTCAGAGGAGACCTGGCCTGGAGGACGTCAATCCTGGACTGCAGAGAAGTGTCTCCACAGGCTGTGCTATGGATCTGTGTGAAGAATTTAACAACGCACCATGAAACCAGAGAGCAGATGCAGTAGCAAAACCACTTGTTTGAGCACATAAAAGGCTAACTACTTCTCAGCCTCTCCTGGCAATGAAGACACAAACCACTCACTTGTTAAACTGTGCCCCGTGGCCTCTGCCTCAGAGCTGATCCCAGAAACCAGGGTGTGGAGGAGATTGGCACAGCTTCACACATGATCCACTCCGTGGCAGAGGCTGGCCGTCAGGTCAGCCCATGCGATAAATTGCAGTCTGAATAAACTGAGCCAGCCCTTGCAGACCCATAGGAAGGATGGGGTGGCTTCAGAGATGCCTGAGCTCTTTGGGTGAATGGATTTGCCCACCACTGGAGGTGCCCACTCTATTCCTGTCCCATCGTTCTTCCCGCCCCCAACCTCCCAGCTCAGAAGTGGACTGGATCATCTCAAAGAAATATTATGGTTCTTTTGCTTTAAAACAGATGCTGTTCATTTTATCCTCATGACAACTCTACATGGGAGCCCCTCCCTTCAACCCAGTTTTCCCTTTGAATATCCTGAGGCTCCAGAACTAAGGGGATTTTGCTTATATTCCCTGGTAGGTAAGTGACAACATCAACTTGGCCTTGTGACTCTAAGTTCCTGCTCTTTGCTATACATCTCACTGACCTGCATTTTGATTTTCTTGGCAGGACCTGTTGTCCAGGAATTATCCATTTTGAGTGTCCCTGGGCACAGAGAGTGTCTCCTGCAGGTGCTGGTAGGCCTGTGGAGGCTTTGGTGTCCCTGGTGCAGGTTGGAGAAGCCTCTTTCAGTCCGAAGGGCAGATTGGAGGTTCTGAGAGAGGCCAATAGGACCCTTCCTCTCTGGTCTCCTGTGACCGTGGATCTCCTCTCCTGCCCTGCCCCTGCTACAGCCCCCAACCTCCTAGGGGCCACCCAAAGTAGTGGCCCCTGCATTACTGGGCCACTGACAGTACTGGATATGAAGGTTTTTGCTGGCCCAGCTTCCTAACTGTGGGACAAGAAAGTAGGGCTGCCAGGTTTCCTCCTTAGCCATCCCTGCCTAGGGCGACCAGGAGCCACAGAGCCACAGAGTTTCTGTTTGCTCCTTGTACAACCCACTTCTGTTATGCTGCTTCCCTACCTCTGCTTGGACAGCAGCCCTCACCACTGGGTTCCTTTGTGGAAACTCTGGGTTTTCCCTCTGCCCTGGGGAAGAGGCAGCTCCAACATCTGCTTTAGCGGTAGCCCATGCTTGGGAGAGAGTCACACTATGAAATATAGGCAGGTTGATAAGCCCCTTGGAGACCCAGAAGGAACCATACTGATGGGCTCCCAGCCCCTCAGAGGGACTGTCTGTTTGTCCCAGTGTCTGCTTTTCCCTACCAAGGCTCTCATAATACTCCAGCTCATCCTCGGGCACCATCTCCCACGCCACTCCCACCTACTTTCCTGGCCCTGCTCCATGGTGTCACAGGACTGGGAGCTCCAGGGCATGCCCACAGTTCTTCAGGTCTCCGGTGGCCTCTTTTCCTTCTCTAGGCCACACCCCTCCACTTTCCCTGCTCTTGCCCCTAGGGATCCTTTCTGGAGACCCCACTTCTTAAACTCCTCTTGAGTTTAATGGTCCTGACACTTTGGGGTCAAGTGTAGAATTGATACCCAACACTTTCAGAATTGACTTGAAATCACAGAATGTCAAAACTTAAGAACCAGGCTAGGGATATAGCTCAATGGTTGTGTGATTTTAGCTGATTTGATTTCCTGCACTGTTCGGAAGAAAAAGAAAAGGAACAAGAACAACAAACTTGAGGAGTTAGAAGTTGTGGCGTTTACCACCCTGCTTTTAATGCAGGAGAACCAAGGCCAGGAGAGCTAGGGTAGGACCTGGTCACAGGGACCAGAACAGCTAGCAGCAAAGCCAAAACATGGCTCAGAGCTCCTGATTCCAAGCCACTTTATCTCCACTGCCCTGGGAGTCATCGTTCTCATGGCAACCCTTTCTTCCTCATCTTAGGAGAAGCCCCTGAACAGTGGCCAAGGCTGGCTCCTTCTAGCCTCTGCTTCCTCACTGTGTGATGCCTAGGGGCCTAGGAAGTAGGGGGATTGAGGGTTGGGGAGGTGGTGATTGTTTCATTTGCTCTTAAACTATTCCTTACAAATGTCAAGGAAGGCAGAATATTTCATTTCTCCAGTACTTGTTCCTGCCTGGTGTCTCTATCTACCATTCTTCAAGCCAGCCTACCTCATGCTTCCTGGCCTTTTCCCTTGGCTCTGCTTGTCTCCAATTTTCTCTTCTTTCCCTGTCCATTGGCTTTGCTTTGTCTGATTTTCAACTGTCTTGTCCTCTAACTTGATATCCTTATATGAATTGTTCTTCCATTTCTGTCACCAGCTTTCCTGGTTTTTCTGTCACAGTCTCTCTCCTCAACTCTCTTCCTTGCTATAGTTTTGCCTCTTTCTCAATGCAAACTAAGCCCTGCCTCCCACCAATGGTTCCCAAACCAGGCCACATCTTGTTCTCTCTGCCTCTGTCTCCTGTTTTCTCTGTCTTTCCAGTGTTCTCCCCTTCTCCCCCACTCAATCTCCCCATTTTATCCCATCTCTGCTCATCATTCATCTCTCCCTCCCTCTCTCTCTCTCTCTCTCTCTCTCTCTCTCTCTCTCTCTCACACACACACACACACACACACACACACACACACACACACACACACAGAGTCTCCAGCATCCTTGACAGGTTCCCTGAAGCCAGAAAGCCACCCCAGGTACATCACTTACCCAGGACCACTGGCCAAAGGAGGCAGGAACACAAGCAGCTCAGGAACACCCAGGGGACCCTCCTCCAGTGGGGCCCCCTCATGGCTTCAGAAAAAGTTCCTCAGGCTCCCCTAGAGAAGCTCCACAGCACAGAAGTGGCAGAGAGAGGAGCAGAGACAAACCTCAAGCAGGTGTATTTCCTGAAGGGGCCAGAGTGAGTACCAGGGGGAGGAGGACAAAAGAAGGCGGGGCCCCATGCCAATCATCCTTCCAAGGTCTTTTCTTCCTCAATCTCCACCCCCTTCCCCCACCAGGAAAAAATACCGATACACCCAATGCTCTGCTCCTTGTCAGCCTGAGCCAAGGTGGGGGGGGGAGGAGAATAGGAGGAGGAAGTGGGGAAAGAGAAACAAGACACACCGGAAATGAGTGGGCACCCTCCTGCCTGAAGTCTTGGGCCCTTTCCACCCTCTCCAAGGGCTGTAGATGGCTACAGCTATCTATAGTAGGAGGCAGCTGGCTCACTTCAGAAGAAAGGGGAAGGGAATAAAGGGTACTGAGAGATTGACTTTGGGATTGTACTAATAGGACAAGATAGCAAGATTTATAGAGACTCTAAGAAGCATGGGAAGTGGGGGACCCACGTGGAGTGAGGGATAAGAATTAGAAATATCCTGTAGGCATGTTTTAGAGAGAGGCGGTGGGCTTAGGCCATCTGTTCAGTGCCGACACATGGAGGACCCTCACCACAGAACGGATGTCTTCTGTCCAGAACAGAGAACACAGAGCCAGGGTCCAGAGAGCCCAATGCAACCTGGGAAAGCAGCTTGAGGGATCTGACATGAGGGTTGAGGATGAGGTAGAACCTGAGTGGATTGTGTTGCTGTGCCATAGAAGTGGGCAGCCGGGTGGTGGTGGAGTGCTCCTGGAGACCTTGGGATTAGATTGCCCATTTTTTACCTCTTAGAGGACTCACAGACTCAAGCAACAATGGGACAGGGATCCCAGACAGGGTGTGCCAGGCAGAATTCTGAAGGTGGGGGAGAATAGCTGGTGTAAGCTATTCTATATATGTTTCAAGGAAAACAATGGTGATTTCCCCCACCCTTCCCCACAGTGTGAATCTATGCTCCTGGCACCCTAATACATGACCCCTGAGTGTGGGGAGTCTGTAGTCTGTGGAGTGACTGGCCTCAGAGCAGGATCTTAGGCTCCCAGGCTCCCAGACATTGCATAGCCTGGGATGAGGAGTCAGCATTTCTGCATTCTTAGGCAGAGCCAACCTTGCCAAGGAGGAGAAGAGGGTGACACTGGTGGCCTTATCACCTTGTTGACCACTTGTCTTCTGAAGCTAAAAGTCCAGTTATGGCCCAAGCCCACAGGTGGCCCCTTGCTGTTATCATGCAGGTCCTACAGAGACGTGGCAAAGTTACCCACGCACCCCTCCACCTCTGTATGGGATTCTGTATGGTTGATTCCATTCTTTTCCAGGAGCAGGAAAGCCACAAAAGTAAAGAGGGACTTGGGCTCTGGACAGTACAGCAGAATGTCACTGAAGACAATTTGTATAGGTACCAAGGCCCAACTTGGTCTTGTCAACTTTTCTGTGTCAATTCTTGCTTGTGAGTTCTCCCTATTAACTTGCCATCTAGTTTTTGTTTGTTTGTTTTTGAGGGTTTTTTTTTTTTTTGGTGTCACTCTCTCGATTACAGTTTTCCCCCATTTGCAGCAGAGATGAGAAAAGAAAATCCTCTTACTAAAGTAAGAGGTGGACATCTTGTCACCCTAGCACAGATGGCCTCCCACTTTGCGATGCAAGGAAAGCCAGAGGGGCAGAGCATTCTTTAGAGGCTGATGTGGTGGTCAAGGCTCCAACTGGACATTTGGGCACCTGGGCTTCAATCCTAACTGCCACACAACGTGAGTCACAGTCTCTTTGAGCCTTGTTATCCTCATCTCTAAAATGGGGATAGTAATACTTACCCAAAGGTTGTAAGACTGAAATGAGCTTATAGGTGTTAAAGTGCTTTGCAAATGTTAAGACACCTGTAGAGGGCATCAGCTTCCTCACTTCATCCTGACATCATCCCCCAAGGTGAATACAAATGAGGCAAGCCAGGGGAAGAGGAGGTATCTGGACGTGAATCTGTAGGCCTATCTACCTAGTTCCCTTTGGGTTTTGCAATCTTTTAACTAGGAACCTAAGACTTTGGATAAGGAGGTGCATGGGATCCTATTCGTCTCCTCCCTGTCCTCTCCCAGCTCCCTCTGCTTTCTCTGTGAGACCAGCTCCTCAACTCACCTATTTCCCAGCATTAGGATGCTTCTAGGTCTCTGATAAGAGAAGAGGAAATGAGTGGATTCTCTGAGCTCTGTCCAGTGGAGACCTCGACCTGTAAACTACTGGGTTTACCCCCAGGCAGGAATCTGAAGTCAGGTTTAAGTTGATATGCCCTGGGGTGTGGGGAGAAGAGCTCAGTCGGGGGTCTATGTGAGTTGGAGCAGGGATAATATTTTCCAATAGGAGGAAGGCTGACCTAGTTGGCACAGACTGTTTAGTTCTGGGCAGCAAAATCAGGATCTTCAAGGACATGGCTCTTCTAAGCTCCCCATAGTGGGAGTCTCTAGTTCTTGGGGTCCCCACATATACAATTTATGCCACTAATATGCTGCTGATAAAGCTATTCAAACAGAAAAAGGAAATAAGGAAAGAGGGAGAAGAAGGAGGAGGAGGGGGAGAAAGAGAAGAGGGGGAGGAGGACAAAAGAGAGAAGAAGAAAGAAAGAAGAAAAAGAAAAAGAAACAATTTTGGGTGAGACTTAAGAAAGCAGACTGAGCTAGGGCAAGAAGTTGAACACTTGTGAAATCTATTGATTAAGTCTTGACTAGAAAGATTTGTAACTAGAATGTGAGGCCCTGTGTGTGTCCCTTGCACCCTGGGAGGTGCCCTTCTCACATGTAAGGAAACTGAGGTTCAGGAAGGAGAGCAGATACTCAGATACTCCCTCATTGTGTCAAGGCCAGGTTGGGTGATCAAGTGACACTAGAGAAAGCTGACTTCCCTGATTGCACTTGTCCTAATCACATGGTCACACGCTAAATCACAAAGCTGGAATTTGAGCCAAGTCTACCTGGTCCCTAAATGAAAGAAGGGAATTAAGCTGGGCTGGGTGATTACTGTACGCTTGACTTTTCTGTGACTGACACAGAGGCGACCTTTACAAGGGGACTTGCTGTCCAGCTGCAAGAGGAGTGGTTGGGAGACAGCTTCTAGCTGCTGGCTCCTTCCAGCCACCCTGCAGCTTTTAAGCTGAGTTCGTGCCTTTATTCCATGCACTTTTTAGCCAATGACTAAGCAAAATGGCAGTGCAAGGACTGGTCAGTTCCACCCCCAGGGACGCTTTGAATAGCAGTCTGTGCCTCAGAGCATCCCATAGGGCAGAGGCTTTTTGACTGTCAGCTCTGCCACGACCCCTACCCAACCCTGCCTCTTCCCTTTTCAAGGATGTTGAACCCCAATGGGCTTTTTCATCCTAACTCCATCTCAGCTTACAATAGGTCCCAGCCCAAGACCCTGACTTAAAAGGGGGAGGATTATTTTAGATAGTCAAACTGGCCCCTGAGGGAAGGTTTGGATCTAGATCATCCCCAGCCCAAAGACTGGGTCTTCCCACTTTTCCATCCCCTACAGTTCAGCAAGGAGAGGTGTGCCCTGCTGTTCATGGTCCCTGTCCATGAAAATGTGTGACCTGCTTGTGATGACAAGATCCTCACATTGCAGAAGAGAAAGATACCAGTAGCCCCGTGGCTGGATCCCTTCACAGGGGAGTGTTTGTTGGTGCCACTGCAAAGGAGCAATCACGAGGTGACAATGGGAAGTCCTATGCCTGGAGCCTTGGCCTATGGGCTATGGTGACAGCAGGGGCCCTGGCATTTGGACCACACAAAGGCCACCATTATTCTCCCAGGATAGGGTTTCTCAGACCCTTTCTCTAGAAGTACTAAGCATGATTACAATTAGCTCACTTCCCTTCTCAGCTTGCATCTCAGGGAGAGATGCATAATGCCTACGCAACCTACATCCTCTGGATATGCCCCTGAAGCAAGGGGCATTCTGGGTGCACAGGAGGCATGGACGGCCAGAGCTGGCTTGAAGCCCAGGAATCTCAGCTTGCTCTATTTATTCAACTTTATGCAGAAGAAAACTAAGACCAGGAAGTTAGACACATTGCTAAGTCAGGTCCTCGGATTTATCACCTGTGTTCTGCAATTGGGCTTCCCCTTTTAAAACGTGAAATAACAAAAGAATCTCAACTTAATCTTAGAACTGAAGAGATGCTGGCAGCCATGTAGCCCAAATCATTCTGCCAAAGAGGAGGTGTGGGCCCAGGAAGGAAGTATCCAAGTTCACCCAGCTCTGGGTCGCAGCTCTGGCCTGAAACACAGGTTCCCTGTACTGTTTCTGCTTTGTCACTGCCTCCTGTGTTTTTATTAAGCTCTCTTTTCATCCTTCTAGTACCCTAGTTAGAACCATTTCTCCCAGTTTACATACAGGGAAACCTTCAGTAATTATGGCCATGATGGATGTCCTCTCAGGGTGAGCCCATGAGATCTTCAACTCTTTCTTTCTTTCCTTCCTTCCTTCTTTCTTTCTTTCTTTTCCTTCCTTCCTTCCTTCCTTCCTTTCTTCCTCTCTCCCTCCCTCCTTCTCTCTCTCTTTCTCTCTCTCATCAAGGTCTTGCTATGTAACCCAGGTTGGACTTTAATTCATGTAGCCCAGGATGGCTCTGAACTCTTGATCCTTCTGCCTCTGCCTCATGAGTTCTGGGATTATAGATATGTACCACCATGTCAATCATGCAGGTTTCTGATGAAGGGCCCAACCCAAAGTCAATCCAAAGTTGACTTTTACAATAAAGTTTACTGGGGTTTTTCCCATTATAATAATGGTGCATGCTCATTATAGAGATACAGAAAATACTTACAGAGAAGACAAACATCATCTGTATTTACCACCCAAGAACAACCTCTGTTGAGAACCAAAAGCCACAGTGACAAGATCAGTGTGGCTTAGCAGCATTCTGACAGGTCAGAATCTGCAGG